AGACAAAGCACGGTTTGCAACAAAGAGATTCACAACATCTTCTTATTACCAACCTGATCGGGTCCCCCGCACCTGAAGAAGGCTCAAGAGCAGAAAAGGTGTGTTTCTCCGTTTGCTTTGTCAGGATGGGATTAAATTTAATTGGTGTTATTGAACAGAACTTTGGGTGGAGGTCAGATTCTAATCTTCTTCCCTGTTGTGAAGGCCCACTGGCTGAAAAAGCACAGCACTCACCTTTTATACAGTAGGTCCCCTCCCTCCTCCCCAACATCAGCAATTTCTCAGAATTGGCTCTGCTCATTCATCTTAAGTGAGGGAGATTGCGACAGCGCTAATTTTCAAGCAGCAGTCTCAGCCTGGCTAGATAAAGCTCAACTACGAAGCTATCTGGTTATTTTTTATCCAGCTTGTTCATTATTGTTATGACTGGACTGAACAGCTGAAGCTTTATTTGTCACTATTCCAGTTATCCTCTAAGGCAACACAGCTGGGTAATTAAAGCTGTCTGTCATTGTGCCTCTGCTAAGCATTCCATGAGTTTGACTAACCTTTTCTCTTAATGCACCACTAATATAAAGTTGTTTTAATGTCTGTTCATGGTTTGATGTAAATATACCTACTACTGTATATACATCTGAATTACCTGTATATATGCAAATATATGTTTGTTGAATTTTCAGAGCCACCAATGTGAAATTTCACCTGCTGCTGAAGTTCTGTTTAGCCTTGTCTTCTTTCCCTTAATTATAATGCTTATTACATTGAGCAATAATACATTATCTATCAAAAATGCTCATTTTGAAATATAAAAGGGACAACCTCAGAATTCTCAAGAAGAATATCCTGTCAAATTATTAACCATTTTATACAATGGGCAGTGCAAGGCATACATTAAACTTTTTTTACCAAATCGTTTTTAAAATATTTTTCTTTTCTCTTTGAGAAGCTCATCCTATTGTACTATTATACAATAATAACAGCTGAATTTAAGTAGAAATGAAGTTTAAGAATACCTGTTTAAGTTTAAGTTGCCAAGATCCCAAGATGATAATCTTAAATGATGATGAAATCAGTGTTTATATTGTACATGGTTAGTTGCAGAGGATTTTTAAAACAACAATTATTATTTAGTTGTAGTAGTATTTAATACAGAATGTTTAAGGGTACATAATCTCAAGAGACTGCATAATAAAACACTCAAAAGATACACATAGGCGTAATTTTGAAACGGCATATTAAAAAATCAAAAGCTAAAGTATAAAAACGTGATTTGGGAGATCATTCGGTAGTGCAAGCAGCAGAAAGAATTGTCTCTTCCAGTGTTTGCCAGTGTTTGGAGACTGTATAATGGGAACTGGTAGAAGACCAGAATAAGAAGACAAAACCACTCAAGACCATAACATGTAAGCAGCTGAATTTTGAATTTCATTCTGAAATCTACAGGGAGTTTTCAATTTAAGAGCATGCTTTGATACACCATAAGCCATGTCATGAGAACACAAGACTTTTTCCATCAGACTGGGGAGATGGATCACTAATATGTGTCATGTTGACATGGAAAAAAAAAGTCTGTGAACATGAGCTTGGAATTAGAAACTAGGTTAAAAATATGAGATAAGATGTTTCACTTGATTACCTGGACTGATTCAACGATCAACAGTAGGTTGACACACAGGCAGAGTTCTCAAAGAAGGAGAGAAAATCAACATATAATCTTTTCAGTCTTGTCAGAGATCAGAAACAAAAAAAAGATTTGTTGCATCCATTTTTGAATATTATCTAAGAAGTGTGACCATGATTTTTGCTTCATTAATGTCAGTATACATAGTAATGAAAGCTGATGCCTATGAAGAATCTGACCTAATGGCAACATAAACTGTAGGTATGAAAAAGATTTGGACCCAAAAGAGAGCCTTGCAGGTTGCAGATGTGACCAACTTTGTGTAGCATTAAGCATAATTAAGTTTTGTACTTGAGCAGTGTCATTTCTATATTGTTCAGGACAGAGTGCAAGGTCATCAGAGCTGATCTGTTTCCTAATACCCGTGATGTTGCAAATCTGAAATAGTTCCTGTTTCATCTTGCAAGTTTCATAGGGAAAACAAAAATGTTAAAAGGTTAAAAGAGCAAAAGAGAAAAGGCTGTGGTTAGTGTTGAAACACTGAATTTCTTCAGAAATTGATATCCACAGTTCAAGCAGTTTAGAATGAACTCAGAATGAACCCCAACACACATATGAAATGCTATGATAACAGATTAACATTAATGACAATGATACCATCTGAACATTAACCCCTCTGGTGATCCCAAAATAGATCAGATCATTAAATCAATTTCCCATCTCTCCAACTGCTGGAACTTTTACTGTAAAATTAATTAGTCTCACTTTCATACTATTTCAGCATATCTGTATTTTTAAAATGCGATTCACATCCATCTCCCTTCTTCTTTTTTTATGACAAATATGCCAATGTGTACCGTAATTGGGATGTACAGTAAGAGGGAGAGATCAGCACTTCAACAAGCAAAGTACTTACAGTATGTGAATATTTAATACTTTTTTCTGTTAAGGAACAATTAAGGCTTATCCCACGCTGAAAAGATAAGAAAAGAAACACAATATTTTGGCTGTGGAGCCTTCTTCAAGTGTGAGCCTTGAGCCTTGATTCCTACTTGAACTATTTTATCCTGTCAGACTTGCTCACTCGAGAACCAAGTCTCAAGAGTTTCAAGATCAATTGCTGCATCGTTGAGTTATACAATATCACTCATTGTCAATAACTTGAGAGGTGTCCTGCACAGGGATAAAAGT